GCCGTCTGGCCGTCTGTCTGTCTGTCTGTCTGTCTGTCTGTCTGTCTGTCTGTCTGTCTGTCTGTCTGTCTGTCTGTCTGTCTGTCTGTCTGTCTGTCTGTCTGTCTGTCTGTCTGTCTGTCTGTCTGTCTGTCTGTCTGTCTGTCTGTCTGTCTGTCTGTCTGTCTGTCTGTCTGTCTGTCTGTCTGTCTGTCTGTCTGTCTGTCTGTCTGTCTGTCTGTCTGTCTGTCTGTCTGTCTGTCTGTCTGTCTGTCTGTCTGTCTGTCTGTCTGTCTGTCTGTCTGTCTGTCTGTCTGTCTGTCTGTCTGTCTGTCTGTCTGTCTGTCATGCATGCATGCATGCATGCATGCATGCATGCATGCATGCATGCATGCATGCATGCATGCATGCATGCATGCAAAGCTGAAAAGCGAGCAGGTCGTTCCAGGAGACCGGTGATGACAAGCCTGCTGGGACTGTGAGACTAGTCAATTGACTTTGCCATGTAAAATGCCGATAGTTGAAATGCATGGTCCACAAACGGGGCACGAAAAAGAGCTCTAACTTGCCGCCTTCTGCCCCTGCCCGGCCTCTGCCAAAGTCGGCAGTTGCTGCAAATCCTGAAACTTACGAGATACGGTACGAGTACATGAGATTCTTTTAGAAGATCAATTCAGTGGCTGGGATTCGCCACTGATGGCCCGGCCAGAAAAACACAAATTGATCTGTGCTGTCCACAGGGGTCCAGTGGGAGGGTCATCCAGAGGCCAAATCACAAGCTGGTAGCCGTCCGCTCGCCCGTTGCTTCTTTTGAGCTGCCCGGTCAACACACCACTCGCTCCAGCCGTTGAACCGCTGGCCGGGTGCTTGAAAGGTAGGCACCCCACACTGAGCGGGAAAGCGAGCGGGAAAAAAAGACTTGGACTTGCATTGGGCAGCATCACGGCAGGAAGGACCAACAGGGCTCAAAGGCCGCCGTTGGCAGGCGGTTATTGGTATGTTGCTCAAGCAACTCAATGGCCACCAAGATCCCGTCAAAAACACAGCAATAGCCAGCGTTGTCGAGTTGTTCACGCGACGAAACAGGCCTTTTCACCTGCCGCCAAGGTCTCCCACTCAAAGGCGGAGACTTAAACAGTCCAGACCCCAGCTTGCGCGGGCCTCACTCAGAAAAGTCGCGCCCCTCAAACAGCCTGAGCGATCTTCCCGACCTTCGTGCCTCTTCATCCGAAGGTATAGTCCCTCAAGGCATCCGGAGCGACGGGGAAAGAAGGGATACCTCGGCTCAACCCACCAATTCCGCATCTCTTAAAATCCCCACCTTGCACAAGAATCTCTTTCATCAACTTAAGCCCAATGCCGCCGTCTGCAGAAGAACTACCCCAATGCTCTTGACATCTGGTCTCCTCGGGGCTTTCAACTCCAGCTGGATATTTGTCAAAACTCTCATGAGATCTAAATTCACCGTGCGATGTGAACATAGACTGACATTCCTTTCAGGGGGAATGAGCATCCCCTGAGGGCCATCAGAGGGCCCAGGGCGAATCGGGAGAGACATGTGATCATGATTCGACGCATTACCAGTTTGGGAGCAGAACTAAAGAAGGGTTTCTTCAATGAGACCAAAAGGAACCCAACCGTTTGGACATAGTCCCTCTTTTGACACATACCCGGAATGTCAAAATGTCCTGGGCGAGAAAGAGGTCTTTGGCCCCAGAATGGCTCGCCGCTCGACTCGACTGTGACAGCTCGGACGTCGGGCCATCCAAAACCGTCCCAAGCTGCACAAAGTGCTAGAGCCAAAAATTGCCACCGGTGGCCGCTGGGTCTCCCTCAGGAGCTTTTCTCTGGCCACATCCGCTCAAGCTCTTGCAACCGGGCCGTGGCATCTGCCAGAAAGTGCCGCATGATCGACTGCTCAATATTCACTCATGCGAAGAGAAGGCTGCGAAGAACAAAGAGCCCACTTCGACCCTTCTTGCTACAAAAAGCGGAGGAGAGCCTTTTTAAAGTGGCGGTGTTCTGGAAAACAGAGAAACGCTTTTGGACTGCACGAAGCCAACATGATGTTCCAGCCATTTCACAAAGCCCTAGGCATCCATGTGACATCAAGAAGCGCGCGCTGTCCTTCGACGGGTCCGCCTCCGGTGCATCTGATGACCTGTCGGAGCTGTCAATCCGGGTTTGCAAGTACCTGGATCTCTCATTTGGTGAGGCTTGCCACAGTCACTGCTGGGCTGGAAACTCGCAAGTGGGAAGCAAAGACTTCTGACTCAGGTTGATTTACTTGCAATGGGTCGGGAATCCTCGCATCTCCTGCACTCCCCCCCCCCCCCCCGGCTTCGGGAAATTCATTGTCCCGTGGCGATGACCCTTTATAGTCTCTGCAGCATCTTGCATGCCTGATTCCAGCACGTTTAACACGACTAAAATCGATTTCGCTTTCCTTTGATAGTTGCCAGCTATCTCAGTGCGCACCCAGAACATACGACACCATCGGGCACAGTGGTTTAAAAGAAACCAAAGTAAAGGTTGACTGGCAGTCTGTTTGTTACAGGAGATCTCAGAAGCACGAGCCGGACTCAGTCGCTCCAGTCATCTATGTCTTGTGTTACATTTCTTTCCAACTCCGCGTAGAACCTGCGACAGAAGTGTGCCAAGCTCCGCACCTGCCCTTCTCGTGCTGCGCTCCTGGAATGATGACACTGTATGCCACACAGCAACTGGTTGCTTGATCAGAAACTACCGCGCGAACACGTGACCAGTGGAGCTGACTATCAGCTCACATCTCTTGAAAGCTCCGCCTAGAGAGCCGTACTCAGCTTTGATGATCGAATCCTCCAACGTTGCAGACTGCCTGCACAGCCATGGGAATGGCCATGATTCTTTAAATTTGTGACCCTTCGATGGGCGTCATTTCCCATTGGTCCACGAACCATGTAAATGTTTGGAGGCTGCTCCCCATTAACAGAAACGCAGCCGCGCGATATCTAAGTTGGGGCTTTCATGAGCTCCATGAGCTGCGCACGCCAGCGGCATGGCGTGCGCGAGAGCCCCGCCTGTCGTTCCTGTCACCTGACGTGAACGAACTTCACCTCTCACAAGACACGGCACCCGGATCGATCGCTTTGCACCTGAGGAGCAGCACTCGAAGCAGCTCCTCAGCTGCTAAGCGGTGGGTTTGTGCAGATTGACTCATAAACCCCTGTTTATTCATATAGGGGGTGTCCATTTCTGGATTTGGTGGGGATTCATCACTTTTGGAGGGGAACATCCCAACAGTGAACAAACAGGGAGTTTGCCTGTAGATTTGGGTTGAAACCAGTTCAGAAAATCACAAGGATGGTACTGCACGCCATCTGATGCTCGAGTGGTTGGTGATATCTTCATCGCTGCATTGAGGCTACCACCGAACCTTGGCCACTTCAGTCGAAATCTGGTCGGGGGCATGTCCTCACATGGGTGTGGGTCACAAATGGGTACCTAAAATGGAGCCCTGAAATAAGTGCTCAAACCCGTGGTCCCCTAGTGGTTTGATTTTTGACCCATACCCTCACGGTGTGATCCCTTAGATGGTGACGCAGGCAAGGAAAGGGTTCCTACAGAAAACCGGGCTGCCAAACAGGCAATGGCTGCCTTCCATTGCGGCCGCCATACACAGAGACTGCGAAGAAATGACGAACATTTACGCCAACCCAATAACTGCGCCAAAGCGCCAACAACTAGAAGAAACAAAGAAATGCGAGCGCAGTCCCAGCCCCACCCATTAATCTTAACAAAACAAGCAGGACTCATGACATTGACTCGCGCGGCACGCTCCTGGTCCAAATGTCATAAAAGTTCAGCGTCAGCTTCAGACCTTGACGCAAGCATTGAGCTCATGAACATGTCGATGTCATGAATAAGGTTGAGTTCGGATTCTTGAAGACCATTTAAATTGGGAATCCCCCTATTTAGATTACCTATTGAAGGAGCTACCTATGATTCGTATGGTCCTTCGGATTAGGTCAAAAGCCTTTGGGAGCAAACAAGGCTCCGCTGCAATGAATGCATGAACACGGGTGCAAGCCAAAAAAGCAAACAAATGCGAGTTCGAAGGGTGCATAAGCCTTGACCAATCCCTGCTAAGGTTCACAGAAAGAACTAGCACTAGTACGTACCAATTCAGCAATCAAAGGTGCAACACTGTCCCTCGCTTCGTGACCATCTCCTGTGTCCCAGGCCGCTCCCTTGCGGGGCAAAGCCATGACTACTCGTGGCTCAGTGGAGAATGTTTGAAAATGCATGGGATTCATCAATCTGTTTCCACACATTTGACACGTATGATCATGACATGGTGTTTGTCTTGGTGTTGAGGCCTGCAAGTTCATCGCAGAGGACAATCAACCCCACAAGGCGTGCATTGGAGGATCTGAGGCCCCAATTTCAAGAAGCAAAGCTCTGAAAGCTCTGTCCTGCAGACTCTTGACCCAGAAATCGAGTAGCTGGAGTAACATTGGTCACCACTAGGTGGGCAGCCGCTGGGCAACAGACTCTCCATGGGGCAGTTGTTTCTCTCACTTGTCCGCGCATGAGCCAAGAGACGATCCAGCCGAAGCGAATCACATGTCTGCACTAACGGTTCTCTGCACATGCAAAGGGGGGGGTCTTTTTTTAGGCTACCCAACCTGTTTCAAACGGAGACCAGGGAAACACGCTTTGGGTTCCCCTAGTTGGGGAGAGGGCCACAGTAAGGCAATGTCCTGCTCACATCACAATGCTTCAATAAGAAGTGCGAATACATGCAGCTGGAAAGGCATCTCGCAGGAGTCTGAAGAGGGTGTCCACTTCTTCCGGGGAACAAACAAAGTGCATAACTACTGGCCACCATGTGAAGCTCATGTATTCACTTACATGCTCCCTCAGTTAAACCTGGAAAAAGAAAAAATAAAGTTGATTGGGCAATCCCCTGAGGACCTAATTGTCCATGTCAATTGGCAGAGTGGGAACCCGCTTGGACAGAAAGACGAGTCAACGGGCACTTGAGCTCTTTGGCTGAGGCCCGCAAGACCTCAGCGAGGTGCCACTGCGAACGGCTTCTCTTCATTCGAAGAGCACGCTCAAAGAAAGACACCTTCGCAGGTGCTCCTTGAACCAAAGGAAACCAACCTTCTTTGGGTACTGACCTTGAGCCGTGAGCCCCTCCTTGGGCGCGGTTCCTGGCGCTTTTGTAACTTTTAGCTTTGCACACACCTTTTTCCAAAACCCGACCTGAGTTCGCAGAGACCAAAAGAAACCAGAGGACACCAGACACCAACCTGATTGCACAGAAACCAAACCAGAGAGGACCAGACACCAACCTGATTTCACAGAAACCAACCTGACTTCCAACTGGTTCCAACTGAAACCCTTCCATTTGCTTAACCTCCTGAAAAAAAAATGAAATATTTCCAGTAGTGAAATCGATTCCCTTTAGAACCAAGAGGGGAAAATACAAATATTTCCAGTAGTGATAGATTCCCTTTAAAACCAAGAGGGAAACAAAAAAACACTGAAGCAAATGCAAGGACCAAACCAGACACCAACCTGATTTCACAGAAACCAACTTGATCTCCAACTGGTTCCAACTGGTTCCAACTGGTTCCAACTGGTTCCAACTGGTTCGAACTGAAACCAAAACCAAAAAACCGGTCCAACGCTCCCAACGTCTGATTTCGGGGCCCCCGGGCCAGGCACAGCAGCAGAAGCCCCAGGGAGTTGCACGCCATGGAAATGTGTTTGTGTGTCGTAAGCTTGGCTCAGATGGGGGGTGGAAAAAAAAGACATGCGGGTTGGTTCTTTTTCTCCGGGTTTCGAACTTTCCAAAGGTTTGGGGTGTTGTTGTTGTTGTTGTTGTTGTTGTTGTTGTTGTTGTTGTTTTTCTGATTTTCCAAGTTGCCTGTAGACTTTCCAGAGTTTTTGGCCAGTCCCTGGCGGCCAAAGAGTGCGTGAGACACACTGAAACCTGGTGTCCGCTTGGAGCCAAAGCAGCCTGAGGTTCAAGGCACTGACTATGTGACAGCTGGCTGCTGGATTGAGACGAGATCATGGGTGTGAGCTCTGTTTGGGGCTCCTTTTGGTGGACGTCATTTCCCAGGGGGATTCATGCTCGGCAACCATTTGGAGAGTCCCATTATAGCTCAGGAGTCAAATCAACCTCAGCCCCGGCGAGCATGAAACGCACCCGGCCAAGCATCCAGTTTTCTCCGCACGACTGGACATCCTCCTTCCGGAGGGCCACTTTGGTCGTCAACCATGCATGGATTTCCTAGCGAACAATCGCGATAATGAAGGGCAGAGTTTTTGCCCCGGGTGAAACATGGAAAAGGGGCGTCAATTTTGCACATTTCAAGAATACTGCTGCAGGAGTCGATGAGATGCGTTCTAAAAGAGAAATCCACATGTTGTTCAGAAGGATGCGACGGCCCATTGCTCCCTTATTTAAAGCTGACTGAGTATCCAACCGGTCTCTCCCGGCCGCTGACCGGACGCTCTTGGTCCGAATCGCATTGCTCCCGCATGTTGGCTTCACCCACCTGAGAATTCCAGTCTTCATATTGTAAAAATATTAGCCGATCCCTGCAACTTGTTTGAACACATGCACTGGCATGGGTGTCCTTTTGGAAAAAATAGATGGCCCTGGTAAATGGAATAAAACCCATCTAAACTAGTGCCTTCTATTGTCAACCACACTAAGAAGGACACCTATGTGCATTGGACTACCAAGGGTTGCCTGCACTTGTGCCGCTGCAACGGATTGCTCATGAGTTCGGTTGTAAACTCCGTCATCCGGGTTTTGGGCTCTGACAGGTTCAACAATATAGGGATTGCTGTTCATCAATCTTAAGACAAGGATCACGAATGGAGCCTCCGTCAGATTGCTGTATCCACGATGCGCCGGGAGTCAATCGCCGAAAGCCAACTTCAAAGAACCGGAGTAAGAGATCTAGGGGCGGGAAAAGGCTAACCTAAGCTAGAAAAATCAGGCGCTTGGCTGCATGTCAGGGGTGAACAAATCATTTGGATGTGTCAGCGGGGTAGGTCCAAAAAATGAACACCCAAACGGTGGATATGTGTATGTATACATACATATGTACATATATATATATATATATATATGTATATATATATATACACATATGTGCATATATACAGGTACAAAAGGTGTGAATTATTCTTTTCGATAACATCCAAACAGGAACCTACAATTTCAGCGTGCCCTCAACTGGATATGTGTTTAGGGACCTTTCAGCGGGCATCAATTATATTGGAGTCGATGTTCACCAACTCTTCCGAAAAGTGCTCCATATGTTCAAATTCATTCCCAACTGCCAACTAGGCCGAGCGGCTGCACAGTCGTCGAACATCCGATGGTGGGTGCATGCATATACAGACTATGCATACATATGTATATACATATGTATGTGTATACATATATACATATATATGTGTGTATGCATATGTGTATGTATGCATATATCTATATATGCATTTATATACACATATGCATATATATATATATATTATATATTACATATATATATATATTATATATATATATATTATATATATATATATATATATATATATATATATGTAATATATAATATATATATATATATATATGCATATGTGTATATAAATGCATGCATGTATGTATGTATCTATGTTTGTATGTATGCATGCATGCATGCATGTATGTATGTATGTATGTATGTATGTATGTATGTATGTATGTATGTATGTATGTATGTATGTATGTATGTATGTATGTATGTATGTATGTATGTATGTATGTATGTATGTATGTATGTATGTATGTATGTATGTATGTATGTATGTATGTATGTATGTATGTATGTATGTATGTATGTATGTATGTATGTATGTATGTATGTATGTATGTATGTATGTATGTATGTATGTATGTATGTATGTATGTATGTATGTATGTATGTATGTATGTATGTATGTATGTATGTATGTATGTATGTATGTATGTATGTATGTATGTATGTATGTATGTATGTATGTATGTATGTATGTATGTATGTATGTATGTATGTATGTATGTATGTATGTATGTATGTATGTATGTATGTATGTATGTATGTATGTATGTATGTATGTATTATGTACGTCCATATATGCAGACATGCATGCATGCATGCATGCATGCATGCATACAATACATTACATTGCAGTGCATCGCATTGCATCGCATCGCATTACATTGCATTACATTACATTGCATTGCATTACATTCCACTACATTACATTACACTACGAGTACATTACATTACATTACATTACATTACATTACCATACATGCATGCATACACGTACACACATATATGTAAGTGTATGTATACGTACGTATCTATACATGTATATCTATATATACATATACGAATGCAATGCACTGGCTGTGGCTCAAACAACATGTGGCTGTGGGTCAAAACCGTTTTGGTACCATGTTGGGGTAGGTGCACCACCCATTTTAGAACCTATTTTAGTGGTTGGGATGTTCACTGGGGGTACGGACTTTTCACGCATGGCCATATGGGGGGTTGGCTGTGGCTCAAAAAGCATGTACCAAAAATCTCGCCTTGGTGAATGGAAACGAAGACTATGATCTTGCGCAACCCTACCTTCTTTATTTTTTAGCCACACCCGGTTGACCAAAAGGTCCGGTAAACGTGGGATGGCCATTAGAAAAACCACAAAAAAAGGTACGACTTCCCCCACTAACCGGGAAAAGTTGCCCTGGTAGGAATATTGATCAACCCCCAAAAACATTCATATGTATCCCCTCCTACCCTTTTGATGTTCGAGAAATAGTCCTTTTAAAAGGAACATGGTCCAAACCAGGACCCCTGCCAGATCCCCCCATATCCCTCCACTGAAAAAGCGGTCACCCCGTCGATTCGGCCGCCTCTTCCAGCTCCGGCCCGAACTCCGGGCCCGACTCCACGCCCTGTCCGCTGGCGCCCCTCCTGCCACGGGGCCCACTTCCCGTGCTCCGCTCACCGCTGGAAGGCCCCGGAAGAACGGGAAACCACAAGGAAACCACAAGGGAGCCACAAGGAAACCAGGCGGACAACGGAGTGAAACCACTAAGTTGGCTAAACAGCACAAGCACCTTGAGAAACGGAGGTGTGGTTCCCTCCGTTTCCCAGTTCGAGACATGCCTAGGTTGAGAAGAAGGCAAGGATTGCTCTACGATTGACCATACGTGGCCGCTCACTGTCTGAATTCACAAGTTGTCGCAAAATAGCCAAGCCCTTGAGCAGCTATCTTTACAGGTTGATCCGGAGGAACTGCGGGAAGAAATGGGTCAACAAATGAATGGCACTGAGTGAGCTGGCTTCTCAGCCTGAGCGAACCCAAAGTCCGAACCAAGGTTGAAGTCTTTGTCTTGCAGAAGTGGCTGGATTAGAGATATGCGACTATAAATGGCGCAAATTTAGGGTGAGTACCTCTCTCTAACTCTTGAAGCAACAATAAGCATGAAGGGGAGAGGAAAGCACAGTGCAGTTGGTCCCTGCGCTGGTCGCAACTTTGATCGGCACAAGATGTGACTTGCATCTAGGATCATAAGATTCCTCTCACGAAGATCCTGAAGCTTCCTCATGGCCGAGTAAAAATGGGAAGGCCGACTCACGCCCTGTGATTCGCCAGCCGCGACTTTCCGGCAAAGGACCGGATTGACTTGCCCGTTGACTTGCCCTCGCAGGTGGTCAACAATCCCTCAGTAGATCTCCTTCCACAAAATCATTGTCCAAAACAAGTCCCTGTGCAAGGGACAATAAGGCATTACGGACATTGCTGATGCTGGCTCCTCCAGCTCTCGCGCAACACCTGCAATAGAGCCTTGAGCAGTGGAGCGAGATCCGTGCTGAACGCTGCAAAGAAAAAAAAACTCAGGCTGCCGCCGTCATCTCCCAACCGATGTGCTCTGGCTGGGCCTGGCTCCAAAGTGCCACGGCACGACTGCAACGTGTTCTGGTGCTTGATATGGCAGTTAAAAAA